CCTGCTGGGCAGTGGCAAGAAGGGGAGAGCCAGGAAGGAGGATGAGTTTGGCACAGGATCTTCCCTGCCACGGGCCAAGGTTTAGCGAGCTTTTGACTTTGTTTGGGGTAGCCTTGAATATACTTGATTCTTTTTCTAAAATGTCCAGATGAGAGAGTGGATAGTAATCAACCAGGGGAAAATTAGCCAGTGTGTGGGGATAAGTAGGTGTCTCCCTGTGTGCACCTTTGATTACCTATGTAGAGAGCTTTCCACCATGCAGGTTGGCAAGAAGAAAGCGGGTTGTCAGGTCAACACTTGTGGTTTCTTTATATGTATTTACTACAGCTTTTCACTGTGTTTTGGTGCTTTATTCTAGGAGCAAATTACTAAGGCTGTGTGGGTCCAAGACTATTCCTGGTGGGCAGGCAATGTACGCTAAAGTACAGCCTGGGCTCTCTGCCTTTCCTTCTCTGCAGCCAGGCCACTCTTGGCTTTCTCTGTAAACAAAGGCAAAGAGGAAGGACATGCAGGCTGTATTTAGAGAATGCTGGACAAGCTGGTTGCTACAGGGTCAGAGAATGGAAATGAGAAATTTATCTCTTCTCTGGAGAGGTAGGTTAGGGCCAAACGAGAGAGCAGAGATTAGCATTGAGTGGCTGCTAGTTTCACTTGGAGTATTAGCTTGTTTTGTTTGGCCTCACAGTCTGTGGCCTGCACCATAGTTTAAATTTAAATTAGCTGTTGATTTTTCTTTTCTTTTCTTTTTTTTTTTTTGAGAGGTTTTTGCTATAGGGTGCATATGCTCAACAGAAAAACAGAGAGAGAGAGACAGAGAAACAGAAAGTGAGAAATCAACCCCCGGGGTTATGGCCACACCACAATTCCTTCTCCTCCGTCCTCCTCTCGGGATCTTGGGCATGCATACACATGTGCCTGGCGTGAGTTTAAGCCACTGGGTCCAGGACTCGAACTGTGGTTGATAACATGGGAGTCCAGCAACATAGCCATTATGCCAACTACTAGTTTCTAGCTACTAATGTTTTTAATTAATTAATTTATTTTTTTATTATCATCATAATCTTCTTTATATTACATTGGATTACATATAACTTTACAGTGTATTACATTGCTTTTTCAAAAGGGAATGCCTTGCAAGTCAGTCAGTACAAAGACATTAATCTCCCCGCTTCAACATTCAATATCTTTTCTATGTTTTCCCCAATCATTATTATTATTATTATAATTATTTTTTAAAACAGTCAATCGCTATTTCTCATTTTGCTTGTAAAAATACTTTGCCCATCATGAAATACTTCTCAGACCAATCCAGTTGAGAATACCACCTAACCCCTGTCAGAATGGCAAAGATTAAGAATATAAAAAGTGATAAGTGTTGGCGGGGATGTGGTGAAAAGGGAACCCTCCTACACTGTTGGTGCTGTTGGTGGGAATGTAAACTAGTTCAACCACTGTGGAGAACAATATGGAGGTTCCTCAGGGATCTACAAATAGAACTACCATTTGATCCAGCAATCCCACTTCTGGGTATTTACCCAAAAGACAGGAGAACGCTCAGTCAGAAAAGTGCTTGCACATCAATGTTTATTGCAGCATTATTCACAATAGCTACTAATGTTTTAAATCAGAAAATTTACATTAAAATTATAGGGACATGTAGCTTTACTTAGAAACTTGGACTGTCTTGTTTGTGCACGTTGTGCTAAACTGGAGCTCAGAAGCAGCTCCTTCTTAATGAGGCAAGCATTTGCCATTTTATTGTGGTCCTCACTGTTCCACATTGGTCCCCAACACTGAGACTTTGCACCAGCTACCAATTATCATCTCCCTCAGCTCATTTTAGTTTGATAAATAACTTGCTTGGCCTTTTAGGCATTTGAGTTTATTTGGCTAATTGTAAAAAGCTTTTTCTTCTGTAGAAAGGTTTTTGGACTTTGTCCAGAGCACTCAAAACTTGGTGATTTTGATGTGGGGAGGTGTGAGCCTGAGTTTCAGTTTTAGAGGTGACTCCCAGCTCCTGCCTTGAGTCTGGCCGATTTCCAGTCCATCATCCACATGAATCCTACTTGTGAATGCCTGCAACAGCTAACACAGATGACAAGATTTGTCCCAGACAAGTGTCATGTGAAATGGAGAACAGAGAAATTCTGGAAACACTTCAGAAGCAGAGTTGTCAAGACTTAGGACTCAACTGCATTGTTATGGGATTTGGATTTACAACTCAACTGGGCTGTATGGGATTTGGAAGAGAGAAAAGATGAGGGGCTCCAGTTCTGGGCAGTTGATAAAGACTATTGACAGGGAATGAAATCAATGTTAGACATATTTGGATTCTGGTTACTAAAGTAAATAGACTATGCTCAAAAAGTAGGTATGTATAGCACATAACAAAGATTAATTTGCTACCAAAATATATTTGTTTATATTAGCATCATATTTATACATTAGTGTATGTAAAAGCTAGCTACATATAATACAAATAAGCAGCTTCCTAGACAGTAGGCCCATTTAGAACTAAAAATCTCTGTCTTAATCATTGGTGGATTCCTCAAAAAATACCCAACACATAGTATGTGAATAAGAAATGCACCTTTAATTAATTAATTAATTAAAAATAAACAAGGATAATTTAAAGTATTCTTGCCCGATTGTTATGAACTTTTTTCTGTTTTAAACATTTGACCTTTATTTATCTCTGCTGCCTACCATTCCCTTCACTCGAATCCTTGACACACATGCACCCGTATGTGCACCTGCAAGGGAAAAATTGCCTTCAGTAACCACAGGTAATAATGCACCTGGTTTTAGATGATAAGATTTTCTCACTTTAAATCTTAAAGTGATTCCATCTTTTCCTTTTGACTATTTATTTTTAAATTCCCTTAAATAAACAATAGCCATTTTAAAAGCAAATTTGTACAGTAGTTTCTTCACAGAAACTCACTTGTAGTTTTTCCTTAAGTGGCAGGGAACTTTATAAATGGATTGTCTTTCACTGGATGACCCAGTAGCCATAATCAAAATGCATTTTAGAGTTAAAAGTTTCCTGCTACCATAAAATTTGGAGGTTGTTTGTGGAGTGGTGGTATTCAGCTATTGAAATCTTCAGAAGACTTTTCAAATAATTATACAAGTTTTATGTAAATAATAAATGTATGCACTTGTCAAAGTAGTGAAGTTGTATATAATGAAAAAAAAAAGTCCTCACTCCAGTGCTATCTTACCTCCTAAGTCTGTCCTTTTGCAGAAAAAGCAATCATAGTCTATATACATAAATTTTTTCTATGCAGTGTGGCGCTAACCTATATATTAAACATAAATTGGATTAAACTATATATAATACTGAACAGTTTTTAACATCATGGAGACATTGCCATTTTGATTCATATGTAGCTCCCTAATTCTTTTATTGCTGTGTAGTACTCTGTTACGTGTGTATTTTAGCTTATTTAAATGTTCCTTAATTTCTGGATATTTAGCCTGTTTCCAGTTTTTCTTTGCTATAAGTGAAACCACAATGAACATCTTTACCTTTTTGTGAAAATCTTTCTACAGAAAATGTCTCTTAAATTAGAATTGCTGTAGATATGTGCATTTAAAATTCCAGTAGCTATTTCAGATTTGTTCTCCCAAAAAGCTATGCCAATTTAGTGTTTAGGTAGGCTATGTGATCAACTCTTTTCCCACTCCCTTGCCTAAACTAAATATTACCACTTTTAATAATGATTACAAATCTTGTGCACAAGAAAGTGACATATCATTATTGTTTTAAATCACATCATTGATTCCCACGCAGTAGAGCTTTGTGTATTGATGAGAGCACAATATACCATTTCTCTAAGTTTACACAAGCTAGCTACAGAAAATGTCACTAAGTGCCACTCTCCCCTCCCATTTCAGATGCTCACTACCTCACCTGCAGGATCCAGGAATGCGCCGAGACAACTCGGAATGGGCCCTTTGCCCGCTCCATTGACATCAGTTCCCTTGTGGTCCAGGATGAATATATCTTTATTCAGGTAAGTAGAGAAAGCACAGTCAATAGCAGAAAAAGAATGCAGAAATGAAGTCAAACGCCTACTAGGAACAGGAGGATGGCTTTCCCAAGGTTGTGAAGATGTGGGACTGGGACATTGTCCCTCCTTTGCTTTGTGAACCCAATCCCCTGAAGAGATCCCAGACCTGTGTTGAGAAACAAAGATATTATGAGTCAATATCCTTTCCAAGGGGTTTCAATGACCAAATGAATATTTGGGTTAGATTGATGTTGTACGATTCCAGAGCTGCATTGAAATGATCATGTCTCAGATTGAGGTCTGAAACTATTGAAAGTCACATTTCTTTTGTTTTTAAGAGAGATTTTTTTTTTTTTTTTTTGCTGTAGGGCATGTGTGCTCACTAAAGAGACAGAGACAGAAATTGAGAAATAATCCCTAAGAGGGAATGGCCATGCCACAATCCCTTCTCTTCCATTTGCCTCTTGGAATTTTGGGCATGCACTCACAGCATGAGTTTCAAGCTGCGGGGTCTGGGACTCGAACTGCGGTCATCTATGTGGGAGTCCAGCAACATAACCATCACACCATCTGCTGGTCCCTTCAAGTCAGATTTCTAATGAAATTTGAGTTTAAGTGATCTATTAAAGTCACATTCTATTTTTGTCCAAAGTGACTTGTCTAACTTGGGCATGAGAATCTCCTATAGATTCAGTAGTTCTAGGATTATCTGCCTGGAAAAAAATCTAAAACTCAGTTCATCTTTGCCTTCCTGTCCAATGCTGACTACTCCCCAAATGTCTGTGTCCCAAATCCTTCACTCCTAGAATATTGACTATAAGAGTAAACTGATGGGAGTCATATTTTCAGAAAGGCAAGAACAGCTTTTTTTTTTTTTTTTCTTTTTGGTAAGTTTTGAGTTTTGTGATCTTTGCTGCATACTTGAGGGAGGTATAAAATGGAGGAAAAAATGAGGGGAAACGAAAGGTGTTACTTCACCGAAAGATTGACAGGGTGTGTGTGTGAAATAAACTTGGCATTGGATGGCAACCTTGATTGCACCACTCTGCTTTTCCATATGCCTTCTCTCCATTGTTTTGCAAACTGTTTCCCATGGAAAATTTGAACATTGACATCTTCCTTAGACCTAAGCACCCGAGTGACCTTCTCTGGCTAACCCCTGGTCTTTCAGTCCAGATCAATCCCTTCTCCTCTGAGACCACTGTGAACTATTAAGCTCAGTGTGACTTACCCCGAGGTATGAATGCAAGCTTGTAGTTCCCTGGTCTACACCATTCTTCTAAGCACACAGGCTACTAAAAGCCATTGCTTACTAAATTTTAATCAATTTGCCTTTTTTTTTTCCAAATTTCATTTTACATGCTCTTAAGATGGGGAAATATTTCATACACATATTTCAATTCAACTTCTGTCCCTAATAAGATGTCTTTGCAAGTCACTCAGTGAATCATTGTTTTAATGATGGACTGTGGATATAGTAGTTACTTCTTTCTACAACTTAGTTGCACACAGTTTTGAGGTCTAGTAAAATAGAAGGAAAGTAACCAGCCGCTTGAGCACAGCTTAGAAGAAGTGAAACAAGTCTTGATGTTTCTAAAATTCCTTGTTTCTCACCTTGATTAATTGCCAGCATTTCAGGACACTTTTCTAAGTCTTGGAAGGTCAGCGACACTCTCATTCTCTTATTCACAAGTATTTATTGAACTTACATAATGAAAAATTGACAAACTGATCATTCCTCTTGTGTTCCCTGGATTTCTACCTTTGCCCTGCGTCTCTTTGCACCTAGCACTCACTGCCTGAGCAATCTGATGACGCTCAAGACAGTGAGCTGAGAACTCTACCATGTGCTACAGGCCTAGGTTTCTTAGCATCCCTCCATGAATGTCCCACAACTGAAACAGTCATGTCCCTCCTCTTCCTGACACTGCCCTTTATTAGTTCACTTAAGGTGAAAATCTGAAAGTCAGCCTCTGCCATCCACAACTTCTGCTGGTGTCACTTTTAATTAATCCTCAATTTACTGTTATTTCAATGTAGTTATTTCTTAAGTTACTTCCTTTGATTCCATCCCTATTGTTATAGTCCCCATTTAAGCCTATTATCTTTCTCTCTAATTTTTTTTTCAAGTAAAAACACAGGGATTATTTATAAATTTACCAGTTTGATTGCCCTTTCCTTAATGCTCAGGTTGTACATTGTGAACATAGCAGATTTGTTTCTGGGAAACATGACTTTAGAATTTAAAATGTTCAGATTTTTGTTTTCATTTCTCTTTTTGTTGCACAAAGTATTCTGTTACTCTGTAGGCAAACATCCTAGATTACAAATTATTCTAAATTTTTAAAAAATTATTATATTAGAAGCAAACAGATATTTTCCCTTTAATCAGCACCAGTACTTTTTGTTGAAAGACATGCAACATTCCATTATTCAATTAAGTTCTATTATTGCCTAGTACCTGGAAGGTCTCCTGTTTATAACTGAGGTTAAGATAGTGAAGACAACAAAGTTCCTTATTGGCTCTAGAGATAGGAAAAATATGTATGTGATATATACATCCATATATTCATAGATGTGAAAAGCTATGAAGTGTACTGATTAAGAACATGTGCTTTAGTGCCCAGGGCCAGCATGTTTTCTTTTAGACTGTGTCTTGCCACATTTAGCTGTGTGACCTTCTTGAGTTGTGCCTCATTTGACTCATCTATGAAAAGAAGATAATTTAGTACCTACTTCATGGGTTGCTAGGAAGATTACGGTGTTAATGATATTTGTAAAGTACTAAACAGTGCTTAGAAACAGTGTAATATGCATATTAACTCTCTCTCTCTCTTTTTTAAGATTTTTGCCATAGGGCAGGGACACTCACTGAAAAGAGACAGAAACAGTGAGAAGGAAAGTGAGATGTCACCCCCTGGGGGGGATGGCCACACCACAATCTCTTCTCCTCCTGGAATTTTAGGCACTCATGCACATGTGCCAGACATAATTTTCAAGCTGCCAGGTCCAGGACTTGAACCATAGTCGGTTATGTGAGAGTTCAGTGCCTTAACCACTATGTCACCTGCTGACTTGATTTCTGTCTTTCTATCTATCTTCTACTATCACCTATCTATGTACAAAATATATATCGAGTAATGATAAATGTTATGGGTAAAAATAAATCAGGGACTGTGAATTTTGGATGTATTGGGGTATTATTATTTTATTTAAGATGCCTGGAAGGCTTAGCCGAGTGGTGACCCAGGGAGGGGATGGCAGAAGATAGCATAATGAGTGGGGAACATAAAGGCAGATAGGTCAGGTTCTGGCTCTGTTGAGGCCTGCATGGTCATATGGAGTGGGCTGTGTTCAGGAGCAGGGGCTAAAGGGAGGTCATGATTGACTACTTAAATTAGAAGGTTGTCAGCATCTCAATGGTATTTTAAATTACAAAGTTGAAGTCACCAAGGGAGTAAACATAGACAAGAGAAACCAAAGACTGGGTCCCAGGGGCACTTCAATATTTTGAGTTTAGGGAAATGAGAAGGAATCAGCAAATGAGACCTAGATAGGAAGGATAAAGATAAGGTCAGAAAGGCAGTAGGGTACTAGATTCTACATGGTCTTGAAGGTGGTTTTAAGGACTTTGTTTTTTTTACTCTCAGTGAGAAGAAAGATAGTGGATTAGCAGTGCTTGAAATAGGCCAATAAACTTTTGGAAAACATTGATTGTACTAATCATCAAATAAGCACAAATTAAAAGCTTATATGTACAAGTATTTAATTAGCTAAGATTGAAATGAAATAAAAGAATGCCAGTGGGTTGCAGATAAACAACTCTACATAGTGCAGGAACGAGTATAAATCAGTTGACTGTTAGTATTTAATCAATCAATCTTTTCCTTTTCGTAAGTGAAGTTGGCCATTTGCATTGATAAATATGACAAATATGCTTTAGTTTTGATAGTGTATGCTCAGCATTTAATTATGACTATTTTTAAAAAGTTAATTCTATGATCTGTTTGTCTATGCTTAATTATTTTGAGTATTTGAATTTTTTTGTTCAGCTTTAGTTCTGATAGTGTATGCTCAGCACTTAATCATGATTACTTAAAAAGAAATTTTAATTATATGATCTGTTTTCCTGTTTCTTTGATTATTTTGAATATTTAAATTTTCTGTTCTAACCGCTTTGTTTTATGAATAAAACTGTTATGTTACATACCACATCTTCTATTTTGGAACAATATCTATTGATTTCCTCTTGTGAGCAGTTATAAAATTCATGTATTTCCATGCATTTATATTTCCTCGCATCTCTCAAATTTTTCTACCATCCAGTTTTAATTGATTGTATTATTTCCTTGTTTACCTTACTGTCTTAAAATATAATTCCATTAGACTTAGATATTTTAAGGAGCACTGTTGAAGAAAGTTAAAGGAGCACTGTTGAGAACTTTGCTCCATTGTCTTCCTGAATGATTGTGTTGGGCCAGTCTGAGGGTTATTTTTCTTTTAGGTGTCTGGTTTTATTTTTGATTTGGTACTTGTTTGTTTGTTTTGTTTTATTTTTTTTTAACCTTTGACACATAAAATCCTTTTCTAAAAAATATTTGAATACCAGTTACTTACTGATGTGTACTTTATGGTTGGTCATACTGCACATGAGAAGGATCCTGGTTTAAGTCCAGACACTTTCCTGAGTACACTAAGCACACATTTGAACATGATCCAGGACTTGCTGAAGGCTACAGGTGAGTTGTGGTGCCAAGATCCCATTGGAATTCTATCTTTCTCTCTCACTCTGTCTCTCACTCATGAAAGAAAGAAAGAAGAAAGGAAAGGAAAGGAAAAAAATGAAAAGGAAAGGAAAACAAAAGAAGAAAGAAAAAGAAAAAGAGAGAGAAAGAGAGAGAGAGAGAGAGGAAGGAAGGAAGGAAGGAAGGAAGGAAGGAAGGAAGGAAGGAAGGAAGGAAGGAGAGAAATGTTTTAAGAATTAAATCTTAAAATACATGCTT